AATACTAATAATATCTCAAATTTTAATAACAGTCTAGCTTAAACATTTAAATCCAAACAAACACTAATAATATCCCACAATCAGCAAATCAGCTATTACAGCATTATTAGCAAAATCAACTATTAAGAATCAGCAGCATTACAACATTATCAGCTATTCATAATCAACAGCATTACAACATTATAGCACTATCAGCATTATAGCATTAGAGCAAAAAATCAACAGCATTCAGCATTACAGCACTATTAGTAAAATCAACTATTCAGAATCAACAGCATTAAAATCAAAAATCAGAATTAAAATCAGCAGCATTAAAATCAACAACTATTCAAAAATAAGTAGCATTAAAATCAGAATCATTAGCTAAAAATCAGAATCAAAATCATTAGAAAAATCAAAAGAGGAAGAAAAAGCAAAAAAAAAAAAAACAAAGAACCATAAAGAAGAACTAGAAAATATAAACAGAAAGAATCAGAAAAAAAAAAAAGAAGCAAAAAAAAAAAAAGAAGCAGAAAAAAAAAAGAAACAGCAAAAAGAAGAAGAAGTAGAAAGAAAAAAAGAGAGAAAGAAGAAGCAGAAAAATAAACAGAATCAGATGGGAAGAAGAGATACATAAGAGAAGAAAAAAAGGAGACAAACCTGGCCCAGCGAGGAAGGAGAAGCAACAACAGTTTTCATCTCTGACCATCAAGCAAGGAACACCATAGTAGCAGCAATCCCCTGACCAAAGAGGAAAGAGCAGTAACAATGATCGCCTGACCAGAGAGGAAGGAGCAGCAGCACCGATCGTGAGAGGAAGGCGCAACATCGATCGTGAGAGGAAGGAGCAACATGAGGGTTTGGGTTTTATATTTATGGGATAAGGGGGTAATTGGGTGTATTGACATATTATAATTTTTTTTTGCAATTGCCCCAATCCAACATTCCACAATAAAAATAAAACAATCCAACGGTCCACAATAAAAATAAAAGACTATTTCGCCTCGCATGACTAAGGCGTTCGCTTTTTCGCCTTTCGCTTAAGCGAAAGGCGCTGGCTTTCCTCGCTTCAATCACGTTCGGTTCGCCTGGGGTGTTCAAGGCGAGATACCTTCGCTTCGCCTCGCTTCTCGCCTAGGCGAGCTTTTCAAAACATTTGGTGAACATATCTGCAAGTTGATCCTTAGATTTTATAAATGGTATTACAATATCTCCATTTAGTATCTTATCCCAAATAAAGTGACAATTAACTTCGATAAATTTGGTTCTCTCATGGAATACAAGATTAGCACCAATGTTAATAGTTACGTGATTATCACAGAATAAATATAAAGGAAGTTGGACTAAAAAACCAATTTCCATGTAACCATATTATCTCCCAAGAAAGTACAATATCTAGTAGTTGATCAACGATCCGAGGGAGGACTAGCCCAATTAACATCTATAAAACCTTCTACTCTGAGATGTTTATTAACTCGATACAACAACGCAAGTCCAGGAGTGCGTTTAAGGTATCAAAGATTGCGAATGACTGTAGCCCAATATGGTACTTTAGGACATCCCATAAATTAGCTCACAACATTAACCACATGCAATATCTGGTAATAATGAGATAATTCAGCTTCCCACCCAACCTGTGACATTGATCGGAATTTTCAAATAGTGCACCATCATCCATCAACAACTTTTGATTTGAATCCATAAGCACATCAATTGGTCTACCACCTAGTAAACTTGCTTCTTCTAGCATGTCAAACACATATTTTCTCTATGACAAATAAATGCGCTGCTTAGATCTGGCAATTGCAATGCCTAAGAAGTACCTAAGTTTGCTTAGGTCTTTAGTATGAAATCAATCTTGTAAAAAGAGTTTCAACTTTGCAATACCCTCAACATCATCACTAGTAATTACAATATCATCCACATAAACAACCAAGAGAATGTACCTTGCATCAGTATGTCTATGGAGAACATAATGGTTTGTTTGACATCTAAGAAGACCAAAATCTAAAACTACCTCAAAAAACTTACAAAACTATGCCCTCGGTGGCTGTTTTAAACCACATAGATATTTCTTTAGCCGATAAACACTCTTACGATACTCTCCTTGAACAGTAAACCTAAGTGGCTGCTCCATGTAGATTTCCTTAACTAAGTCACCGTGTAAGAAAACATTTTTCACATCAAACTGAAACAAAAACCAATTAAAATTACCATCCAAAGAAATCAACACACCAATGAAATAAATTTTGGCAATAGGAGAAAAATTCTCCTCATAATCAATGTCATAGGTTGGAGTAAAATCCTTGGTAACAAATCAGACTTTGAGTTGTTCAACTGAGCCATCAGGATTGAATTTGACTATATACACCCATTGACAAGCAACAATTTTTTTACCATGGGGTAATAGAACAAGATCCGAAGTTTTGTTATGATGTAAGATATCGATCTTCACCTCCATAACTTCTCTCCAGCCCGAATCAGATAACACTCTATATAAGATCATAGGAATGGAAATAGTAAAGAGCTAAGTTATAAAACAATAAAAAGTAGGAGACAAGACATCATAAGAAACAAAATTAGTAATAGAATGGTTAATAATACAAGATCGAGTCCCTTTACGAAGGACAATTGATAAAGAGTTGGAAGTAACAGGGGCGTCGAGGCAGACGATAGGGGCACCTCGCCAAATGACCTTGGACGACGAGTAGGTGGAGTGACAGATTGTACTGAAGTGGGGTTGAAGAGGACTTGTCAAGGTCAAGATCAAGATCAAGAGGAGGAGCAATGGCTTGAAAATATGGAACAAATTCAGTGAAAGGGACATAAACACTGGTGAAATATCTACAAAGTGTGGGACTATAATAATGATACCCCTTTTATATGCGAGACTAATAAAAAAAAATACATTTTATGGAAAGATGAGCAAGTTTATCAAATCCAAGACACAAAGTTGCGAACATAGTAAGCACACCTAAAGACCTTAGGAGGTAAGGAAAATAATAGAGAATTAGGGAAAAAATATAATAGGGATTGTACCCATTTAGCACTGAAGATGGCATGATTAATGAGATGATAAACAGTAAAAACAACATCATTCCAAAAACATCGAGGAACATTCATCTGAAATAAAAGTACACGAGTCACTTCCAATAGGTGACGATTCTTACATTCGACCACACCATTTTGTTGAGGAGTGTGGACATATGAAGTTTGATAAATAATGTCAGTTTTATAAATATAAGTAGAGAAGGGGTCAAAGTCATAATCGCGAGCATTATCAGAACATGAAATGTGAACACGACACCCATACTGAGTTTTGATTTCTTTACGAAATGTCTCGAATATAGAAAATAAATCAGAAAGAGCTTTCAGAAGATATAACCAAGTCACACGATAATAATCATCCACAAATATCACAAAATAAGGAAACAAGTTGGCAACCAAACACCAAAATCAACATCCCACAATCAGTTGCATCAACGATGGGCACCCAAAAACAGCAATCACACACATGATTTACACCCTCAATAACTAGTCACTCATAGGAGAGTAGAAACCCTAGATGCCAAAGACTGTGAGTTTCATATACATCACAAAAGAAAAGGAATGCAAGGAGAGGAAGAAAAAAAAAAAAAAAGAGAGGGAGAAAAGAATTGATTACGGGAAGAACTTTAGGCTGTAAAATTCAGATCAAGTTAGAAAACCTTACTCTGATACCATGTTAAGTTTAAGTCATATATAATTGGAAGAAGAATATGAGAAAATGCAGAGAAGTAGACAACATACCATACCTTTCACTCTCAACTTATATTTATAGTTATCCTAAGAAAACATAAAAGAATAGTATACCCTTAGAAAAGTATACTTATTACAACAATATAAAATAGTAACACCATAATAGCAATACTCTCAACAGAAATGAATTTGAATAGTTACAAAAAATTTCATAATCATTTCCAAAGTTCAAGATTCTTGAAACAAAAGATTTATTGTCGTTCCGCAAATCTTGCAAGAGGATAGTTGGATGAATGTTGCGATCAATGATGGAAACGCTGAATGGTGTAAAACGGGGTGTCTCCAGCAATACCGGAAGAAGAAAAATCGATCTAATAAGGATGTTTTATTTTCTTGAACCAAAGATAAAATTGGTAATTCTGAGGATAGTTGAATGATAAGAAAATAATTAGAGGTTAACCCTAGAGGTTCTGATCAATCTTTTCTACTCACATTGGAGTACATCAATCATACACTTCAAGTTGAAGCAAAGTTAATTCCATTCCACTTGTGATGGCGAAGGATTGAAAGCTTCTTATGGGGGAGCGATGGAAAACTGAAAAAAAATGGAAAAGGGAGTGTAGATACGAATGAAATGGTTGTCTCAAAAACTGATGTAAGATGAAGGGAATAGAGATTCCATGATTCCATCAAAACTTCTTCTGACTTTTTTTGCCAAATTTCGAGGGTGACAGACGATGATTGGAAAGGAGTGTAGTCTATGATGATGCAGAGGATCTGTTTGATGGGTTACATGATGATAGTTTGTCAGCAAAGGCTGCTGTGCTGAAGCGAAATTCTGCAAAGGCTAAAGTGAACAAATCAACCGACTCTGAAGTTATTTATGTCACTTGTCGTTCAACCGCGCCTCATCATCCTTAATGGAGCTTGAAGTCATAACATAACAAACACTTTCGTGTTTATCTGAAGGACTGCCAACCAGAACATGTTTTGTTTTTGCTTTTTCCTTCTGATTTTTGCCCCTGAATGTACCAAGACAGAGATTGACAGACAAACCAGCAAAAGAAACAAATAAACACATACAAAGAAAATAAAAACCACTATGACCAGTGTAGTTTGTGTATACTATTACGACATCTGCAAGAAGGTTTAAGGAATGTAAAGCCAAGTCATCCCTGAAGAAATACTCAACAGAGAGCATCAACAAACAAATCACTGACAGTCTGAACCCAAAATGCCAAATGTAGCAAACTAAAATTTATCAATTGTGTTAATAGTATAAAATTGGTCATGTGCAGGGCATTAACTGCACTTCCTTGTATAGTAAACAACACAGGTCTTTATGATTCTGATTTACATAGTACAGTAAAGAGAGTCTCACCTATGAAATCAAATGAATAGGTCATTCCAGCATTTATTAATGGATGCTCCAATCTTCCTCGGTTTTAATAGTGCGCGAACAACCCTTTCCCAAGTGGAGGCTTTTGGAAGAAGAAACTTTTGAAGCATAACTTCCAAAATTCTGGAAGCTCCTACAATTCTCTGTCGCTTGTATAGCCGCAGCACAAGCTCATCCAGAAACTCTCCCCCGTGTTGTGGTGGGTCTAGCCTCTCTTTCAATGTTTTCAAGAATATGTTACAGGTAACCATGTCGGGATCACAACCTTGATCCATCATGCTGTTCAAAAGATTTATAGCATGGGAGATGTTATTTTGCTTGCACAAAGCATTGAAAAGTATATTATAAGTAACTACATCTGGTTGAGAATCAGACTCCCCACAGAGCATCTCGTTGAAAAGTTTTAAACCCTGATCCACAGAACCAGCATTGCAGAGGCAATGGATTATAGAACTATAAGCCACGGCATCAGGTTTACATCCTCTACACAACATATCCTTCCACACCATCATAGCCACCTTCAGATTCCCATCATCACACAGGCCATGAATTAGTACACTGTAAGAAACCTCATTATGTATACAGTTGCTATTTTCCATCTCTTTCCACATAAGAATTGCTTTATGGCTATTACCGGTCTTGAAGAAACCCCTCATCAAGGAGTTATAAGTGAAAGCATTGGGTGTGCAGCCCATCCTCTCCATCTCAGACAGAATTTCCTTAGCTTCATCCGGGTTTCCTTGTCGACATAAACCATCAATAAGCGCACTATAAAGAACAGTATTAGGTTTGCATCCCTTTTCTATCATCCCCTTCCACATGCTCAATGCCTCATTGGATTTTCCCATCTTAAACAGCCCACTAACAAGTGCCGAATAAACATACTCATTTGCACAGTACCCTCTTTCCTCCATGGAAATCAACACCCGTGCACCGTCAAGAGCTCTTCCTTGCTTAACAAGCCCATTAATAACTGTCCCATAGGTGACATGGTTAGGGACACATTTATTCAACACCATCCTATCCAATAAACTAATTGCCTTGTTCAATTTTCCTTTGAGGCACAAACCATGTATAAGGGTGTTGTAGGTCACTTCATTTGGAACACACCCTTTAAGGAACATATTATCCACAAGCTTCGCTGCTCGAGCCAAATCCCCTTTTTTGCAAAGCCCATTAATTAACACATTAAACGTGATAGGACTTGGAAAACACCCCTCTATTTGCATCTCATCCAATAGCAAAACTGCCTCATCAATCCTGTCCTTCTTGCACAATCCATCCATCAAAGTGCAATAAGTAAACACATCAGGCATGCATTTCTTCGTCGGCATTTCTCTAAAAGTCTCTATTGCTCTATCAACTAATCCTAATCTACACATAGCTTTGATAATCAAATTAAAGGTCAGCACATTGGGCAAAATATTCTTACACCCTACAACAGAAGAATGAAACTCCATTGCGCGATAATAAAGACCCTCTTGAATTAGTACGTTAAGAACCGAATTAAGTGACCGAACAGTTCGTCTACATTGGAATTCAGATACCATTCTATCAAATAATTCAACTGCTTTGTCAGGTAAATGCGCCTTTCCATAGGCTTTAAACACTACAATAATATTCTTCTCTATAACCACTCTTTGTTCGCGCTTCATTTGTTCTAAAACCTTCTCCAGTGACATAAGGTCGCATGATTTTGCATAGTTCTCAATAAGAGAATAAAAGGTGGAATCACCCAATTTATAAGAACCCAATTTGGGACCGGTCCTAAATATCTCCACAGAAATTGGCGGTTCAATTTCATTTTCAAGTTCTTGCTCATTTTCAGAAGTATTTGTTGATGGAATGGAACAGCTAAGAACTGAAAAGTAACAGTTATTTGGAGAAGTGGAAAACTTACAGGGGATTGAAGAAAGCTTCAAACTGAGCTGTTTTCGGACGGAGGCACTCACGGGCATGCCGTATCAACTCAGTTTATGAAGAAAATGCAGAATTTGTGGGACTATTAAGCATTTTGACATGGAATCAAATAGGGGTTCCTGGGCAGAAAAATTGATTAAATGGCACCTCCAATAATTGGTTGATATACACAGAAAAATGTATATGTGCGCGTTCGAGAGATCGAGGGAGAGAGTATGGAACAACGCAGATTGATGATTGAGAAAAATGAGACTCGGGACAGAAGAGGAGAGGCTGTTTACAGTATGTAGACCTTTACAGCAAGAAGGCAACACAAGCTCAAAATTAGAGTCTAGACCTCAAGTCAAAAACGCCCTTCTGTATCAATTTAAAAACAAGGGTAAATTATATTCACACCCCCTAAACTTTGTCATTAAAACACATAGACCCCCTCAGGTATGACATATTACAATTATACCCCAATCAGTCATGGTCAACTAACCCATCTAACGGAAATATTAGAAGGACTATTTTGCCCTTATTCAAAATAAATAAAACCAGTCTACCACCGACACAGAACCTCTCCCTTCTCCCTTTCCACTGCCCACCACCGACCCCTTCTCTCTCTCTCTCTCTTACAGCCACCATCAAACCCGCCACCGACCCCTTCCTCTCTCTCTCTCTTCTATCCCTAATCGCCTATCAAATCCACCACCATAGTAGCCACCATGAAATCCACCAACATAACAGCTACCATCAAACCTATATCACTGAAACCGTCCATCAAACCCACCACCATAACAGCCACCATCAAACCCATATCACTGACCAGCCAGACCCATCAATACATCACCACCGCCACCTGCCCAACACCCTCTTCCTTATCGCTTGGTCCCGCCTGTGTGTCCCGTGTGTGGTGTTTTTTGTGTGAGAGAGAGAGAGAAAGAGTGGCAGAATTTGTCAGTTGGTGGAGTTGGCAGTTGGGACTTCGGCGGGGGTGGTTGGTGTGGTGGTTGCACAGAGTGGTGGAGGTTTTGGCTACAAATTCAAAAATTTTGGGTTTTGCATATGTTTAGTGATTTAATTGATGGATATTTCAGGGGTAATTTTGGAATTTTGTTACAAGAATTGGTTGAACTCGTTGAGATTTAACGGTCCTCTGGACGAACTTTAACACCAGGGGTTATTTGTTACATCATATCAAACTTTAGGGGGCGGTGGTGTTATATTTTATACTTGAGTGGGTCCGTCTGTATTAGTGACAAACCTTAGGCGGTCTTGATGTAATTTATCCTAAAAACAATGTATTTTTTATCTAAATAAAAGGAAGTGATCCCTGCGTGTGTTGTTTTGAATTCAGATTTTTTTAAATATTTTTTTATTTCACAAATTATTTATTATCCATTAAGAAAAGAACTTTGAAAAGTATTGGCAAATTCTCCTTTCCAATTCCAAAATTTTTTAGGGAATTTACCATACCTCAAAATGTACTTGCAATTATATTTCATGTATTTGTGCATTTAAAATAATACTTTTGTGTGTTTGGGCAATAAAATTTATAAAATAATAAATACTAAAAATGCCCTAAAAATGACTATTTATTTTTTGTTCTTGATGTTGTTGTGTCAGTAACATAGTCACACCACATTAATTTGAATTAAAAAATAAACAACGAAAGAATGGGTAAAGTCAAATAACATTCTTCATAATCTATATATTAGGAAGAATTACATTCCAAACTCATGAGATTTGTCCCAACACTGGAAGCTTATTTTTCACAACCAAATCGACCACCCATCACTTGATCTTTAAATTTTTTAAAAAAAAATTATTTTAATTGATCTGTTATATTTAAAATTATACTATTATAGTTTGAAATTATCTGTTATGGGTTATATTTTAAATTAATGTAGCTCGAGTTGAATCAACTTAAACAATTTGTTTGTCTTAGATTAAATTACTGTTGTATCTACATTTGTTTTAATAGGCTTGTGTGATAGATTTAATTTTTCTATTAAATTTGCTGTGATTATTTTGAATATTTATGGTCCTTGTAAGTTATTTTTTAAAAAACTCAACGTTGAAATTTTGAGTGCAAGTCAAAATAAACAAATCAATTGTTAAATAAGTCGTGGATAAATTCGTTAGTAAAAAAAATAATGTTAGCATTTTTATTTTATATCATTACTAAGTTTTAATTGCCCCCATGATAAAGAAATTCTAGCTCTACCCCTGACTTTAGCCAATCAAGGTTGGTCTGTTATTCATCCGGCTCAGTGTGATGTCATCAACAATATATATGGGGAGAATTCTTGAAGCATTTAGGCATACTTGATAGTCGAAATTAATTTTCTAGTTTGTTGTGTGTAATTTTGCTTATATATAAGTATGTAATATATCTCAAACTCAACATATAAATCATTTTGTTGTATATGTTGTTTAATATTATATTTTTTTCGTTTGCCTGAATTTTTTTTCATTGAAAATTATCTTCAATATGTAACTATGCAAGTGTAGAACTAATCTTCTATTTTGTCTGAGAGGACGATTGTTTTGAAGTTAAACTATTAAGGAGTTTTAAATTATTCATTTTGATTTCTTTTTTTTTTTTTGGTGGGATGAGTGGGTGGTCCGTTGTGATCGTAAAAAATATTGCGTAACATGATCTACTATCTTATAAACTAGCCATAGATCCGAAGGTGCCAAACCCAAAAATTTGACATGCCACAACTATCTTATCCAATCCACATAGATCCCAAGGCGCCAAACCCAAAAATTTGTCATGCCACAGCTATCTATAAAAGTAGGATTTGAATGAAAGACATACACACAACACACATTTAGTGAGCAAAGCAAGTGAGAAAGCTAGGTACTTGGTAAAGATAATAGTATCGAGAGTACTAAGAAGGTTGTTGTTTTTGTGCTGGTGATGGCCATTGTGGTTGTTCCGTTTGCCTTTGCCCACTGTATGAATGAACTTTCCTCTACTGCCAATGGAATCACACATATTAATATCCTCAGGACTTCCCTCTCAAGGGTAATATTGGAAGGTGGACTCCACAGGGTTGATGGTTGTCCCAGTTCCATATGCAATATCTTGAATGATTTTTGTTGTTATAGTTGTAGCTGCCTTCCCATTGGCATTTTGGTTGGGGTATGTGTTGGATCATGTTGCTAGTTGTACGTGTATGTCGATTAACAAACGACGATCTAAGTATTTTTATCATAAAATAAATTCAATCGTTTGCGTCTATGTTTTGTTATGTTTGTTTTCTGGTGGAAGTTGTAGATTCTATGCTTTGGCATAAAATACTGTCTTCTATATGTATCTTGTCTATGTTTTATTGTGTTTGTTGTATGGTGGAAGCTATAAATTCTATGTTTTGGCATAAAATAGTGTCCATCTATGTGTGTTGTATTTTTCTTGTCTAAAAACAGTTAGGGATTTATGTCATGCTGCTTTTTTCCCCGCCTCTCTAAGAAAAAGTGTGATGCATGTACGATGATAATTGCCCTATCAATGCATTTGAAAATTAAAAATAGCAAATATTTTTTACAAATTGAATTCAAAAATAAATGATTTTTAAAATTCGATCCTCTCATTTTTCTTCTTAATTGACAATGATAATTCAAGTCTTTCTGTTCAATTGAACATTCATTAATTTTTTGTTGGCTGGTTTCATATATCACTTGTCTACTTGGGTTGCACCTTAACATTTCTTAATGACAATATCCCTATAAAAGTTATTAGAATTAAATTTTTCTTGGAAATAATGTTAATATTGCTATTATAATTTTAATTTATTAATGACTCTAAAGTTTCTCCCTCTACAAAAGATTTTTGACTCCGCCCTTGGCCTCGCTACCTCTGGTTTAGTTCCGTCTTTAACAGAGTTAGTCTCATGGTTTCTCTCATCCTTAAACTGTTCAGCTCATTGTTTGGCAGCCTTACTAATTGAACAACTTTGCCATCTTTTTGACTTGGTTCAAATTTGTTAGGTGGGTCGGCATACAACTTAGTTAACCGAGTTGTTGTTCTAATAGAGTAACTTTACCTGCCGAAGTCGCCCTTTGCCACGTGTTCTTTGTCACCAAGTGCTCACATCACGTGCCTTTCTTGGCCACGTGCCAATGCCAATTGAAATCATTAAATGGTCTAATCATGCGCAATCATCCCACGCCCCTTCACTTGTCCCCAGGCACACGTCAATTGACGTTCTCTGCTTCCAAGCATACCTTCATTTAATGTTGTTCAATGTTTTCCACAAAAATTGCAATGTGCGAGTCTTTTCTCTTACAAAAACGACCAATCATATGTTATGCATATCCTTTGAATTCCAAGTGTCATGTCTTTGGCGCCTCTCCCTTTCTTTTTAAAGGGTTAGTCTTCTGGTTTCTTTACTTCTTCCATTGTTGCCTTCTTGAAGTTTTTCTAAAACGCTTCGAATTACCTGTTGTTTATTCTTTGCTAACTTACTATGGCTCCCCTAACCAAAGGAGATATCCCTAGCTTCAAAGCTAAGTAACATCCTTGATGACGTCAATATTCAGGTGGCTGGCGAGGATGAGTCTCTTCTTGGCTCTAGGGAATCAATCCATATTCATATCAGAGCTATCATCAAGGGTGGCGTGAGATTCCCACTCCACCCTTTTTTTTTTTTCTATGGGTGCTCTCAACTCTGAAGTTGTGCCCTATTCAATGCTACACCAAACTTCTTAAGAATTATGATGGGGGTAGCTACACTGAATGACCTTCTAAAGGTTGATTTAGGGTTGTGGGAGATCCTCTATTGCTACATCGCTAAGCTAGAGGGTGATAGTAATCACTATTACTTTGAGGTGTGGAAGAAGGACAACTACCACGTCACCTACCTCCCTAACTCGAGCAAGTGTCATGAAAACAACATAATCTGTGTATCTGGGAACTGGGAGCATAAAGCTGGTGAGGAACCACACCATAAATGCCCTTTTGAAGAAGGCACGCAAGGAATTTGCTTTTTGGTTTTGAAAGCTAATCTTCAACCTTCATCATTTCATTTCATTCATCATTATTTTTTCATTTTTCTTCTCTCTGTTTTTGTACCTTGCTCTTTAGGTGAGACTATTAAGGCAAGATCTCTAAGCAATTGGTGAAATTGATGACTTGAAGAAGGTCTGGTTGTATTGTGACAACCTATTCAAAGGATTTACGAATGTGTTGCTCGATTATACTCCTCATTACCATTCATTCATTGTTGTCCTTGACACACCCAACGCCATCCTTGTTGTAGAGGGAGAAAAAATTAGGGCCTAGAGCCTTTCCACTTCTCGGTCCCATAAGAAGTCCAAGACTTGGTCCTTTGGGTTTCTTCTATTTAGGTAAGTATGCATCTTTGGTGGCCATTTCAGGACTCGGTCGCCTTGGACCTGAAAAAGAACTTATTCGAGAGGGGCATTGAGTGATGTATATTTGCGAGCCAGTTCGACTTGAGTTCGGGGACCCAGGTGATCCATAGAGCTCACCCTTTCCACTCGGTTCATGTTGGGCTACTAGATTTGTCATT